ACTGTGTACCATCTCCAAATGCACCGCGCGAGACTCCATGCAGGTTAACAGACACCCGTACCGCTTTGCCACCGGTCTCCCGCACTTCATCAGCAAGGGGCCGAAATAATCCACTCCCGTCTCCGCGAGCGGCCACCCCCTGTTCGAACCCTGAATTCAGTAGGGGTGCCATCAGCTGCATGTGGTTACCGCGTTTTGGCGGCGACAGAACATACATCTACCGATGATCCCCTTTATTGCGGTTCTACCACGTGTTATCCAAAATCACTCCGGAATGGCGTTCAGTAAGTGGTTAGTTCCCTCGTGCCCGTTTTTTACGTGAAGGTGGCGTATGAACGACGTGGTGACAAGGCTACCTGCCGGCAGAATGATCGGATGTCTAGCGTCGAAGGCCAAGGAGGAATTGTCCAGTCTCCCTCCTACGCGTAGCAACCCTTCAACCAGTATAGGGTTAAGCTTATACAGCGCGCTGCGTTGGATTGCGGTCCGTTTTGGGTTCTTCCCTGCTTTCGCTTGTAGCGTCATTGTTTCGAGGGGAAAATGATATATTTGCACTAATCTCAGGACTTTGTGCTTCGTTCTCATTAGGTCGCCCATCGATAAAGGTTCCACATGCAGCGATTCGTCAGGCCGTATTTCAGTCATGATCTTCATCCTTTGTTTAAATCTTATCCACCAAGCGACGGAGCGAATCAATATGCTCCAGGACTAGAAGCTTTTCAGTTTCCTTATCAGGGGGAGGTGACGTCGCATTCCACCGTCATGATTATCCTTTTGGCTTATATCAATTCAACGGGTGCAAGCACTGTACTCTCGTCCTTTGACGCGGCGGTCAGGAAGATCGGGCCGCCGAGCCAATCGCGTAGCTTGTCCAATGATTTCAAGCCTCGGGAGCAGTGGTCGGCTGGGTTATCCCCAGATTTCAAGTACCGCCATTGGTGCACCTTGGTCTCTTCGTGCACTACCGTCAGTCGGTTGGAAACAAAGGTGCTGAACCTAGTGCCGGCATTGTTCACATAGTGTATTACAATGGCGGAGTCGGTCCAGAACGTGACATGATCTTCGAATATACGGAATCACTGTCACAACTGCTTGGCTATACGCATTGCTAGCACGGCCGCGGTTAGTTCGAGGTGGGCTATCAAAACGCATTTAAGTGGGACAGCCCGGGATTTGGCAAAAAGTAATTCTGTCTTGCGCTCGCCGTTCACGTGCTACCAACATACGTAGGCTACTGCTCCGTATTCCGTTTCAGACGCGTTGGAGAATAAGTGCACTTCGCCCTTCTTTGCTTGACTGCTCCGGCTGATTCCGCGCGGAATCCGCATCTCACCTAGCCTACTGACGCTGGTCAATCATGGCTCCCAATCCGTTCGGTCCTGCTGGTCTAAGGGTTGATCCCACTCTGTCTTTTTTCGACAAAGTTGTTGAAGGA